AGCTCTGCAGCAACAGGTTACCTCTAATAGTGATCTACTGCTGGCTGTCCTGAGCAAACAAAAAAATAATTATAGCAGTGATTAAGGCTAGGTTCACACCTGTATGGGTGATTTGCCACTGCGGCGCCACACCTGTTTCCGCAGTCGCAACCACCCACTCCAACCCTTAGGAGATGTGTGGGGATGACATTAATTCTAATGGCGCCCCCAAACACTGGAAACCGCAGCACGGCTTTCCGCACTGGGAACCGCACTACACTTTTGGTTTCCATGCGGGGAGCATTTTCAAAGGAAATTTTCAGAAGACACAGCAGCTCAATCAAATGAATGGGCTGCAATGCCCACGCAAAACGCAGCCACACAAGTGTGAACCTAGGCTTACTGCTGCAGAGAGACATAGCAGCTTCAGCTCACCCTGAGCCTTCATTCTAACAGAAAATGCCATTATGTAATTTCACTTCTGATGTAAACACAGTGCGGAAGCATTGTTCTGCATTGTGTTTACATTGACTTCTATGGTGCTTGGTAGCAGGAGCAAAAGCCCAGGAGGTGACAGTTGGACCGTGGCTGTTACTGACAATTCGCAGTTCCAGAACTAAAGCCTGCCACTGTCACTCATTGTGCAGCCTGCTGTGCTCCAGACCTGATTATAGGCTGCAGGGCACCAGGGCCCTTTGCTGTTAACATGATGTGTTGGTGGTGGTAGTGGTAAATATGTGAGTTTCTCATATGCTAGGCTGAAAATGTGCTGCTCATAAATCAAAAGCAACGAAAGTTTGTATGGAATGCATTAAAAAAGAGAGGATACAAAATACACTGAAAGTACAATTGTTCTTTAAGTATATTGACAATTACTGGATCTATTTATTTAAAACTAGATTGTAAGCTCCAAGGAGCATGGCCCTCCTTTCCCTCTTGTATTGAACTGTATTGTTGCTGTATTGTCTCCCGTTATATTGTAAAGTGCTGAGCAAACTGTTGGCGCTATATAAATCCTGTATAATAATAATATAAGAATTAAAACTGGAGCAAAGAACATGACGATGTCTATTTTTGTGATTTTTTTCAAATGTAAATTCTAACTTTAGCTTTACCGCATTGATGTATTTTGTCTCTGGCAGTGCAAATCGCTCCTTTCTAACTCCTGTTTACTTAAACCATAATACATTTATTATACAATCCATCCTTTATAAATAAGAGAACTTTATCATCACATAATAATTTCAAGCAGCTTTGTTAAAAATAGCACTTCGAAAAGCTGCCTTCATATGGTGATGATCTTGGCAGAGCACACGCAGTAGATAAATGCTGCTAAACCTGGGAACATAATGTAGCAGCAAAACACATTTGAACAAATGGTTCACTTTTTGTGTGGCACATCAGCCTTCAAAAAGTACTATTTAAAATACTAAGTAAAACTAATTATAACTTCCAGACCTGAAACTTTAAAGCTGAACTTCAGGAAGGCAGCCAAATACAAAGCTAAAAACATACAGTACAGTATATATATATATATATATATATATATATATATAATTAAGGCACCCCTGCCAGGCAATCCCTGGGACCTGAGCAATAATACAGCCTGGTCTAGAACACATCCCAGTCTGCAACTGCACAATGATGGAGCAAAATCACCCTGATAGGATCAATATCTGCTCTCTCCTTGTCTCAAGAACCATCCATTGTTGGCTTGGCAGGGTTTACAGTGCTGCCCTACCCTCTCTGCCAGTCTGAAAGACATTGTACTCGAGATTTCAGGGTCAAGCCAGAGTAAAGCGGTATTAAACTCAACAACAAAAATGTAAAATATTGCAATGAGCCATTTTTTTGGTAGGTATTTTTCCTTTTTTTTTCACCTGGTGATCCAGTCAGTAACACCCAGTTACACGGATGCGACTTGCCATGTGATTTTCCATGCGAGTTGCAAATCACATGGCAAGTCACACCCTATTGTCCACAATTTAGTCATATCAATGTGATTCCGACTTGGTCAGAGCCACACTGATTTCTAAAGTAGTGCAGGAGCTACTTCAGGTGTGACTTGCAGTCATCTGGGCAGCTGTCTTGCAAGTCGCACCTCAAGTCGGAATGACATCTGATTTTAAAATCATGCGACTTCACTGGAAATTGCACGATTTCAAAGTCGGATCGGTGTGACCGGGACCTAAGTCTGTCATTGTCAACTTCCTTTAAACCGCTTGCCCGCCGCCTTATAGTATAAGTACTGCTACAGGGCGGCAGGGCTGCACAAAATCCATTTCCGGGTAGGGGGCGACCACCATTGGTGGCAAGAAATGTCAATTCCCCGCCGGCACTTGGTGATCATCAGGGAAAGCTGACAGGGAAGAGACCTGTGTGTGTACAACACAGGTCTCTCTTCTATCAGTAAAGACAGCTGCTTTGTATTTCTCTGTACAGCAGAGTAATACAAAGCAGCATGTCTCTGTTGTAAAACAGCACACAGTACACAATGTGAAACACACAGAGTACACAGTTAACCCTTTGATCGCCCCAGATGTTAACTTCTTCCTGCCCAGTGTCATTAGTACAGTGTCAGTGCTTTTTATTAGCACTGGTTATTGTATGTGTCGCTGGGGATGTCAGTGGCAGTTAGTCAGTTCCCACCCAGAGTCAGAATGCCTGCTGCAGTCCCACAGTCCCACTATAAGTCGCTGATCGCCGCCATTACTAGTATAAATAAAATGAAAAGTCCAGTATATATACCGCCATTTGTAGACGCTATAACTTTCCCGTAAACCAATTCATTTACACGTATTTGGGATTTTTTTTAGCAAAAACATGTCGCAGAATACATTTTGGCCTAATTTATGCCGACATCTTTTTATTGTATATGTTTAATAGCAAAGTCAAAAATATAGGTTTTTTTTTTGCAAAATTGTTGAATTTATTTGTTTATAGTGCAAAAAATAAAAACTGCAGAGGTGATCAAATACCACAGAAAGAAAGCTCTATTTGTGGGAAAAAAACCCATAAATTTCATTTGTGTACAGTGTTACATGATACGCAATTGCCAGTTAAAGTAACACAGTGCCGTATCGCAAAAAAATGGCCTGGACAGGAAGGGGGGTAAATCTTCTGGAGGGCAAGTAGTTAACAGACCAAGCATTCCAGCAGCTTTTATTCATTTATGTAAGACTTTTATCTCAAAAGGAAAAAACTGCCTTTGAAGCAGAACTAAACCCTTCTATAGTTTACAGCCAAGGAAGCTGCCATCTTAGCCTCTGTTTAATCTTCAATTGCCATGATGCTGCACATGTGATCAGTTATGATACCAGCCATTAGATGATTAGACAGTTTGGTAGAGAACACAAGCGAAACATGCCAGCATTCCCAGTATGGAGTGAATGTAGCTGGTTTTTGACACTGTTAAATCGATGGGTTTAGTTCCATTTTAACTGCTAAACCACTTTGCTTCTTTAGAAGTACTGCATACATCCAGAGAGAATGAGTAAAACAAGCTCATGGATGCAGTTTAGAGTAAGCCATAAGCAAGGGCGGACTGACCATTTTTTGGAAACTCGGGCACTGCCCGAGGGCCCGATTTGAGTCAGTAGGGTACCCCATGAGATGCCCCTGGTACCTTTTTCATAGGCTTTTTTGAGTTTGGGCAAGGACACATGCTGGGGCCCCATGATAGCCCCTATTGTACCCAGGGGGCCCCATGAGCTGTCAGTACAGAACAGTCAAGCCCCTGGCCATAAATATATTTCAGGTTTAAAAAAATACACTAAAATGAATTTTTTTTGCACACAAACACAATTTAATCCCCAGTTTTTAGGAGATTACAGATTTGATAAAATGTTGTACAAATATCTGAAGATATAAATAAGTACAACTACCATGTTTTTTAATCTACAGGGCCTCTGTTTTCAAAAAATATTTACCGTTCTGGGGTTTTTAAGTAATAGTAATAGCCAAAATGCTGATTTAACATGTATATCAAAAATGTAGTACATGTACACGCAGGTCTTTGTCTTTATTAAGAGCTCTTTCATTTTTACTACAAAAGCATGGCAGTACAGAACAGTCAAGCTTCTATTTCACAAAGTAAGGTTTCAGATAATGTTTAACCTTCTATCAAGCTAAGGCCAAACTGAAAAAATATATATATTTTTTTCCTTAATCCATAGCTGGAATAAATAGTGAATTTTATATCAACATGGAGGAATTGGGTAGACCATCACCATGCTACATCCCAAAAACGATATATATATTGTAATTTTGAACTATGGTACCAAAAAAAAGATTTTATTGGCAGAACATGAGGCAACTTCATAAAATGTATCATTTTTATTTCCACATAATTAAAAAAATATTTCCATAAAAACATTGCAACACCTAACTCAATACATTCGATTTGGGATAGCTGTCATCCAACCATGACTATTGGGGGATGAATTACTATGGGGGATTGAATTACTAATATGGGGGATATGAAGTCTAACACTATGGGGCAACCATATATATGGGGGTGAAACTCGAAAAATTTGAATATCGTGCTATCGTTCTATGTACAATCCTTGTTTGAATTGATTGCATGTAATAATCTAATTTTCTGAGATTGTGGATTTGGGGTTTTCATGAGCTGTAAGCCATAATCATCACAATGAATTATGACAAATCACGGCTTGAACTATCTTGTTTTGCATGCAATGAGTCTATCTCATATTAGTTTCACCTTTTAAGTTGCATTACTGGGGGAAATAAATGAACTTTTGCACGATATTCTAATTTTTTGAGTTTCAGCTGTATGTCACTACTATAGATTTAGAGGAGTAGGTTATTGTAGTGTGATGTTTTTCAGGTCACTGCCAGTGGCGTTTCCATACTCAAAAGGTCAACGTGGTTCTTTCTCAGCTTGCATTGTGGTGACAGGGTCTGCCGGTTCGCTATGTCGTCCCACAAGACCTTCAGAATTCAAGAGGTTTCTCGCCAAGAAGCAGAAACAGAATAGACCAATCCCGCAGTCGATCAGAATGAAAACTGGCAATAAGATCAGGTATAACTCCAAGAGGAGACATTGGAGAAGGACCAAGCTTGGCCTGTGAGAAGCTGTGTCCATGGAAGTTGAGCATCCTGTGGGTTACTTGCCAAGAACTGATGAACACCTTATTATATAGTTATTTTGTAGCAGTATCTGCTGTTTCCAGTGCAAATAAACATAAGATCTACATTTAAAAAAAAAAAAAGGTCAACGCAGGTTTCACAAACTTTTCTTGCTTCCTCAGGACCGATTGGGTGGGTGTTGCCAAAGAACTGTTAAAGTATAAACACATGTATAAATATACAATATAAGATACAAAAAATTCCATTATATTGTGTCTATATTATAAGTGGCAGCATGCTTGCCTATCAGGACATATGTAGAAGACAAATGGTTAAAAGGTCTTGGGGGCAGATGCAGGAGTGCACAGAAAGATACACTATCCCCACAAAAAGGCAATATCTCGATGTTCAACTGGTGGATCACAGCTTACAGGTTCAGTTATCAAATATCCAAACTAGATGGAATATAAGGAAACAAATACAAATGCAGGTAAGGTGGACTTCATGTAAGCAAGATCTCCAAACTAGAATAAGCCCAAAGCATCAAACTGACCACCTCTATATAGTGTACAATTATCAAGGAGTCCATAAAACAAAAGTGGGTCTTTCTTTCACTCTCGACCAGCACAGCTGTATATACTTAGAAGCTTATATAGAGAAAATTTGGATATTTTTATAGACTTTCAATGCTATATATAGACTCTACCTTCCAACAGTACACTAAAACAAAGCATAAACAGATACAGAGCATCAGATATGTTCATTCACTGTCTCTATCACCATGAACAAGTCACAAACGCCATTGTCGCGTACCTGATTGGAGACTGAAATGACAAAGTTGGCCTCACTTGTGTCACTAGCCCTGACCCCACTAGAAGTTGAACAGAGGGTGTCTAGGGACCAGGGGACAAGAGCGCCAGCAGATGTTGTTTGCAGCTCTTGCAGTTGGAGACTTTGGAAGACTGATAAACCTCCGATTCAGGATCAGTAGTGATATGCAGAGCTAGTATGGTAGGTCGCCATGTGTGCACCAGAGCAAGGCAGGAAGCAGGGATGGGAGACAGGAGCAGTGCCATAAGGAATAGCCAGGGTCATCAATGGGCGGACAGCGAGGTACCAAATCAGAAGCAAGCCAAAGTCAGGAGCAGAGCCGAAGTCAGGAACCAGTATCAAGCAGGAGAGTAATCAGAGTCAGGTCAGGAACAAGCCAGGTCAGCAACAAAGAAATCACACAGGAATGAACAGGAAACGGGGAACAGCTGAAGACCAGTCAGCACTCAGCACAGGCAGAGGCACCTTTTAAATAGTCCGTCTGGTGCCAATCTTCACCATGCGTGAAGATATTGGCACCAGACAATGGTCCCTGTGTTTTATGGAATTTCAGCGGAAGGAATAAGCGTCAAAATATGCAAAACCATATGCCAATATGGCCCAAGAACAAAATAAGAATAATACTACTGCAAAAAATTAAACTATATAAAGGTGGTGGATAAATTTATTTTATCGTAATGAGATGATTCCAAAACTACCACAAAATTAGTACCATGAAAGCTTCTTAATGTGGACTTCTAGAATTACTAGGATATAGTTAATAGTTACCCTCCAATTCTCAGGTAAATCAAAGATGACTGCCGGTTGATGGGTGGAGTTTAGCTCTCACAAAACGGCATCTGGACATGCTGGAGTTGTGTGCCAGATATGCAGGAAGATGGACGGTCAGATGGAAGGTTGTGTCCCATTGGAATGTTGTGATCAGATGGCTGTGATCTCTGTATGACCTCCGTGAAGGTTATATGATCAGATGGATGGGGCTGAATCCCCTCTGGCTACCTGACTTTCCCTTTTATCTCTGGGCATGCACTATATTCATAAAATTTGAATATACCAGCCTAGGGGGTAGCCTGGTAGGTGTTACCTTCTCTTGATTGGTAACATTGTCTCAGACTCCACCCATTGTTTGTTTTAGTATTACCACCATTTTGCCACTGAGTGTCACTCTAAGATAAGTCTTGACTATTTTGAGTTTCCTTGAAACTAAAGTAACTCATTTGTTATAGGGAAAGATTAACATTCGCTATAACAAACTGGACTTTGTGACAACATTATAGATGTCTTGGAGGGTAAATTATTATTATTATTATACAATTATGTAAAATCTTAACTAAAAAGAGTTGCAGTTTCACACACACACACACACACACACACACATACATATATATATATATATATTATCAGACTGTTCAAAAAAATAGCAGTGTTTGTATTCTTCTTTACAAACTCAAACATTCACTATATAAACTGAAAAATGTTTGAAGATTTTGCTTTCCTTTGAATCACTTAATGAATATTTAGTTGTATAAGCACTGTTTCTGAGAACTGCTGTACATCTGTTGTTGCATGGAGTCAACCAACTTCTGGCACCTGTGAACAGGTATTCCAGCCCAGGATGATTGGATTACATTCCACAGTTCTTCTCTTTTTCTTGGTCTTGCCTCAGAAACAGCATTTTTGATGTCACCCCACAAGTTTTCTATTGGATTAAGATCCGGGGATTGGGCTGGCCACTCCATAACTGAAGAGGAAGTTGGTCTGGAACCAAGATGTTGCACGTTTACCGGTGTGTTTGGGGTCGTTGTTGGAACACCCATTTCAAGGGCATTTCCTCTTCAGCATAAGGCAGCATGACCTCTTCAAGTATTCTGATGTATTCAAACTGATCCATGATCCCTGGTATGCGATAAATAGGCCCAACACCGTAGTATGAGAAACATCCCCATATCATGATGCTTGCGCAACCATGCTTCACTGTCTTCACAGTGTACTGTGGCTTGAATTCAGTGTTTGGGGGTCATCTGACAAACTGTCTCTGGCCACTAGACCCAAAAAGAACAATCTTACTTTCATCAGTCTACAAAATGTTGCGCCATTTCTCTTTAGGCCAGTCATTGTGCTCTTTGGCAAATTGTAACCTCTTCAGCACATCTTTTTTCAACAGTGGGACTTTGCGGGGGTTTCTTGCAGATAGCTTGGCTTCACATAGGCATCTTCTAATTGTAACAGTACTCACAGGTAACTTTAGACCTTCTTTGATCTTCCTGGAGCTGATTGTTGGCTCAGTCCTTGCCATTTTGGCTATTCCTCTATCCATTCGGATGGTAGTTTTTCGCTTTCTTCCACGTCTTTCAGGTTTTGGTTTCCATTTTAAAGCATTTGCAATAATTTTAGCTGAGCAGCCTATCATTTTCTGCACTTCTTTATATGTTTTCCCCTCTCCAATCAACTTTTTAATCAAGGTACGCTGTTCTTCTTAACAATGTCTGGAACGACCCATTTTTTTCAGAATTTCAGAGAGAAATGCACTGTAACCAGCATGTACAACATTTGCTGCCTTCCTTCCTTAAATAAGGGCAATAATTGCCTCCTGTTTTTCAAAGAATGAATTACCTCACTACTAGAACTCCACACTGATATTATTTTGAACATGCCCCTTTCAATTAGTGATTCAATTACACAGAATCAGCAGCATGCATGTCATGACCGTTGGATCAGTTGGATTTCTATTACTCTACTACACCTGCTAGTAAATTATTTGCCACGTAGAAATATAATTTCTACCAAAAACAGTGATTGATCAGGTTAGTGATGTCTGACTGCTATTATTTTGAACACAACTATATATATATATAGAACAAAACTATTATTTATGCACATTTAGGACAGAAAGACACATTATATATATACAGTGCTCAAAAAAATTAAAGGAACACTTTTTAATCAGAGTATAGCATCAAGTCAATTAAACTCCTGGGATATTGCTCTGGTCAGTTAAGTAGCAGAGGGGGTTGTTAATCAGTTTCAGCTGCTTTGGTGTTAATGAAATTAACAACAGGTGCACTAGATGGGCAACAATGAGATGATCCCCAAAACAGGAATGGTTTTACAGGTGGAGTCCACTGGCATTTTTTTCCCTACCCATCTTTTCTGACTGTTTTTCACTAGTTTTGCATTTGGATAGTGTCAGTGTCTCTACTGGTAGCATGAGGCGATACCTGGACCCTTCAAAGGTTGCACAGGCAGTCCAACTCCTCCAGGATGGCACATCAATACATGCCATTGCCTGAAGGTTTGCTGTGTCTCCCAGCACAGTCTCAAGAGCATGGAGGAGATTCCAGGACACAAGCAGTTACTCTAGGAGAGCTGGACAGGGCTATAGAAGGTCCTTAACCCATCAGCAGGACCGGTATCTGCTCCTTTGTGCAAGGAGGAACAGGATGAGCACTGCCAGAGCCCTACAAGATGACCTCCAGCAGGCCACTGGTGTGAATGTCTCTGACCAAACAATCAGAGAAAGACTTCATGAGGGTGGCCTGAGGGTATGACGCCCTCTAGTGGGCCCTGTGCTCACTGCCCGGCACAATAGAGCTTGATTGGTATTTGCCATTGAACACCAGAATTGGCGGGTCCACCACTGGCACCCTGTGCTTTTCACAGATGAGTGCAGGTTCACCCTGAGCATATGTGACAGATGTGAAAGGCTATGGAGAAGCCATGGAGAATGTTATGTTAGCAAATATAGTTACATATAGATAGCAACATATAGTTAGCTAACATATAGTTAGCAAAGAGAGATCCCAATCCTGCAAAGAGACAGTCACAGCACAGGCCAACATCCAGGGGGCACAGACCCTTGTGCTGATATAAGTGCAAAAAAAAAAAATGTTTGTGCAAAAAATGAAAAAAAAGACCAAAAATGTTGAAAAACAAACAATTTTTACTTTCTGCTATAAAAGATATCCTATAAAAAAACTAAAAAAATAAAATATCTTCATAAATTTTGTCCAATATGTATTTTGCTACATTAAAAAAAACTCTCAATAAGCATATATTGATTGGTTTACGCAAACATTATAGCATCTACAAACTATGATATATATACTGTAATTGTTATTTATTTATATTTAAACTAGTAATGGCAATGATCAGTGACTTATAACTGGAGTGTGATATCGCGGAAGACAATCTTACATTAACTGACACGTTTGACACTTTTGTGGGAACCAGCGACACTAACACAAAGATCAGTGCTAAAAATATACACTGTCACTGTACAATGGCACTGGCTTGGAAGGGGTTAAATATCTAGGGTGATCAAAGTTTTAAATGTGGGCCTAACCAGTGTGTGTACTATGTGGGTGGTGCCTTCACTGAGGGATGTGCTGATTTTTATTCCCTGCTTTGCAGAGAAACAAAATTCAGCACATCCCCCAAGCAGGGCAGAGCTTTTCCTTCTTTACAATAGGCAGAGCACTGTTCTGTCTTTCTCTTCACCGATCAGCAGGTGCCAGCTGATCGGATTGTGCTGTGTCTAATCACAGCACAGCCGGGTCACAGCGGTGCGCGTACACGCCCCCGACCCGACAGTACTGGGTCATGTACTAGGTACATGATCTGCCACATGAAAACCACTCTGCTGCCATATAACTAGGTTATGCGTTCAGCAAGTGGATAAAGCTGAAGTTTATTTATTTTGGGGATGTATCACCAAACATACTGGTTATGTGTAATTGTGTATATCCCATTACCTGCCGGTAGCTATTTTTGGTAAAAAATTATCTCTGCAGTCCCTCTGTCAAGGCTGGGATCCATTGTGAACTTAATAGCATCATGGGCCCCTGGGCAAAGTAATGCACTGGGGCCACTACTAGCCTGCATGCCCACTGCCCATATATATTATCTTCAACCAATCACAGTGCCTATATACTGTGCATCAGGTGCTCCCCATCACAGTGTCCTCATACATCAGATGTCTCACCTTCACAGTGTCCTTATACATCAGGTGTCCCTCATCAGGTGTCCCTATGCATCAGATGTCCATATCACATTGTCCCCATCCATCAGGTGTCCCTATGCATCAGATGTCCATATCACATTGTCCCCATCCATCAGGTGTCCCCATACATCAGATGTACCCATCACATTGCCCCCATACATCAGATGTTCCCTTGCATCAGATGCCCCCATCACAGTGTCCCCATACAGTAGAGTTGTGCCCCCCACCTTTCCTCTTGTACTCACAGCCACTTGTAATGAAGTCAGATCCTTCTTCCTCTCCTGCGAGTTCTCAGTCTCAACGTGGCTCTCTTCTGCCCCCTGCAGGTGGGCGATCCTGAAGACCCCGACCTGGCACTAGCTTGCAGCAAAACCCATGAGGAGCTCTGGTAAGACTGATTAGTGCTTATACCCTGCCCCTCAGATGAGTCTGTGTCACCAGCTAGGGTGGTCTGCTCGTATATTTATTCTGCTGGTAGATGGGAATCTCTTGACTGCTATAGCTACTGGTCTCTGAGGTTGACCCCAGACCGTAACACCCTCTGTCAGAGCTGTGGGATACTGTTCTGAGTGGCTCTCTTCCAGTGCTGTAAAGATTAGTAGTAGCTGCTGCTACCGGGAAAAGTTGCACTGCTTACCCACCCACTTCTGCCCACTTTGCTATTCATATTGTTTTAGTTAAAGTGTTACTAAACCCAGGATGATGCATTCACTATATATGGTCTCCCACAGTACACAGAACATGGAAATTTAATTATTTTAGTCGATATAAACTGCTAAATACCTTTTATCATCATAAGTTAGAGCAGTCTTATAGGAGGAGTTTTCTTTCTGCTCTAGGAGGATGCAAAACCCCTGACTGACCAGTACTGATTGGCCCTGTGCTGATTACATGCACTCTCCCAAGAAAAAATAAAAACTCCCTAGCAATACACACCAAACTGAGCATGTGCAAATGCCTACGGTTCAGTCTGTCCTATTAGGAGATAAGAGGTGGTTGCTTGAAAAAGGGGAGGAACTGAGAAGACAGGATCAAACAGCCTTTTTATAAATGCAGAGGATTAACCCCTTAGGTTCCACAGTGAGTATAACAAGCATGCTTTACTGCATATACAGACTGATTTTACTGTTGCGGGTGTAGTAACACTTTAATATTTTCACATTGCCTTTTTTGAATGTGCAGTTGAATGACAGGTTCTCCACTACCCATTAACAGAACATGATACATTGTGAGAGAATAACAATACAAGTAATAGGAATGGTCAAGAGGGAAGAAGGGGGAGAGTGAGCAGAGCAACTTTTCTCAGTAGCAGTGGCTGCTGTTTGTGACGGTGCGCGGTGTCAGACCTGAGCTCTTCTCACCAACTTGTGGAGGAAGGACCAGCCAATCTAAGACTGCCACTTGCGTAACAATGCCACTCTTAGCTATGCCCTGCACAAAGATTTTCCAGCTCGCTGGACCACAATCTATGTGCCAGCAGCCTGAGAGCGATTGTTACTGGGTCAGGTTAATTACACAATTAACCCTTCACACTGCCACCACCACCTTTTTACAGAGAAGGAGGAAACTCACAAATCTTAGCAGTAACACTATGATGTTTGAATAAGCATCTGTGCCAGCGCAGACAGATGTATGCAGAGGGTTAATACATACAGTAGCACTCTCCAGAGACAGGGATTCTTTTAGTTTGCATTAGAAGCTTTAGAGACAGTTTCAACACTTTTCAGAAAATAGGATTTATTACTAAAAAGGTCAAAATGGTGCAATTAAAATATTTACAGAAAAGATGTAACAAATATATATATATATATATAAAAGAGAGAGCAATAAAACAACATAGAAATAAAAGAAAGAAGTTTCAGAAGGCAGAATACTTGCAAGAGTCCTTGGTTTGAGCAGAATCCAGTCGTCCGAACAAAAAGGTTGACTTTCTCCTAAAGATGTTCCTGATGTTAAAAGGGAGGTATCTCTTCTTACCTCTCTCCAGGCATGTCAGCCTTTTTTCTAGTAACCCAAAGGGGTGTCTCCTGAAAGCAAAGGACCAATCACCTCATTTGGGGATGGGTGTTAGGCGGGGACCCAGGCTATGACCAAATCCCTTACAAGTTTATACCATGGTCACTAACCTTCAATAGGTATAGGTAGCATCCTAGCAACTGGCAGATTAATATGCAGAATCATATTCCGAACGTCCAGATACCAATTATGGCAAATCCTGCCACTGCGGATAAAAATATATTGCTTTCTACCCTCTTGTAGATGCTACATAGGGATGTAAGGTGTCATGTGACTCGTATTAAAATGACCTATCTGAATATATATTTTATATCAATGTGCCCTAGTTCCTGCTGAAGTTAGGAATTTGTATGAAAAATTACTCATGTGGGATGTACGTTTTGTGGCCCCTGCTGTAATGCTTACATGTCAAGTGACCGACTGAGTTATAGTTTTACGACCTGGCCAAGGAAAGTGTTCGTCAGACACTCTGGCACTAGGCTTAACTAGCTGCCGACCGCAGATAGCCGAATGACGGCTGCACTGCGGCCGGCCAGTTCTGAGTGGACGTCATATGACGTCCTCCCAGAACGCGCTCCTGCCTGCGCACCCCAGGGGGCGCGCACCCGGCGATCTCCGTGATCGCTGTGTCCTACGGACACAGCTGATCACGTGATGTGGTAAAAGGCCAATCACAGCGGTGTCCAATGACACGCTGATCAGAGGGAAATGCAAGTGCCAGTTCTCGGCTGCACTTTCCTCACGCTGTCAGATCGTGAGGAAAGTACTGCCGAGAACCGGCAGTTGTCAGAGCGGGGATCGGCACCGATCATCAGGGCACTGATGATCAGTGCCCTGATGATCGGTGCCCAGCAGTGCCACCCACAAGTTCCGCCCACCTGTGCCCAGCAGTGCGCCCACTAGCTCCGCCCACCCGTGCCCAGCAGATCACCCACCCGTGCCCAGCAGTGCACCCACCTGTGCCCAGCAGTGCACCCACCTGTGCCACTCTGCAGTGCCACCTACCTGTGCCCAGAAGTGCCACCCACCTGTGCCCAGCAGTGCCACCCACCTGTGCCCACCCACCTGTGCCCACCAGTGCCACCCACCTGTGCCCACCCACCAGTGCTACCCACCAGTGCCACCCACCAGTGCTGCCAGTCAGTGCCACCAGTCAGTGCCCAGGGGTTGTGCCAGTCAGTGCCGCCAGTCAGTGCCCAGCAGTGATGCCAGTCAGTGCCATCTATCAGTACCCATAATCAGTGTCACCTATCAGTGCCGCCTATCGGTGCTGCATATTAGTGCCGCCTATCCGTGACACCTCATTAGTGCTGTCTATCAGTGCCGCCTATCCGTGCCACCTCATTAGTACTGCCTATCAGTGCCCTTTAGTGCTGCCTATCAGTGCCCATCAGTGCCGCCTATCAGTGCCCATCAGTGCTGCCTCATCAACGCACATCAGTGAAGGAGAAAAAATACCTGTTTGAAAAATTTTATAAAAGAAACAAAGAAACTTTTTTTTTTTTTTTTCAAATTTTTTGCACTTTTTTTATATATAGCGCAAAAGAAAGCTCTATTTGTGAGAAAAAAATGATCAAAATTTTTCATATGGGTACAATGTTGCATGACCGCGCAATTGTCAAAGTGCGGCAGCGCTGAAAGCTGAAAATTGGCCTGGTAAATAAGGGGGTATAAGTGCCTGGTAGGCAAGTGGTTAATAAGGGATTACAACCATGACGTTTTTCAAGCTGTGCCTTATGCACTTGTTACCCCAGTACACACACAGACCACATTCCATTCAAAGGGGAGGGGGGGGGGGACTGGACGGAGTGAGAATGATATTTTCAGATCATGATACAAGATGGTAGACCTTAACAAAATGGTGGTCAGCGTTCATGTGTCTAAGCGCACAATTATCACACTGTTAACCCTCAAAGAGCCAGAAGACAGTCGCTCAGGGCAGTATCTAGCGGTTTACCAAAAACACTGCCTGTAGGTACTGGGATGATACACACCATTGCGTATACGTAGTGTGTTTGGTGCTGTATCCTACAAAAAAGAAATAAATAAACTTAAGATTTAAGATTGCTTTGAATATTATGTTTTTAGTGCATAATTATTAGTGTTCAACATTCATCCAATGCTATTTTTGTGATGTTTACTTATGTGTGTCACACAGAAACTTTTTCAAATATTTTTTTTTCTAAACCATCTGTTGGTTATTATAAAAGAAACAGGAATAAAAGACTAACTGCCTTGTTTAAACACATGTAGCTGAATAATCAAAGAAAAAAAGGCAACACTCAAGCAGCCAAATATGATGTAACATAAAATGGAACATTTGGGGACACAGAAGGGTAAAACTGAGCAATTCCATTCTCTGTTTCATTTTTCAGAAAGTGGATATCTTCACATTAGGTCAGCTTTTAACTTACAAGAGATGAGACGTTACCAGATAATGTGATTGACTAGGTCTGAGAATTGAGCAGTCATTATATGTTATTAAATTGAATTATTCCAAATCTTCAGATCTCATTATTTATTCTCTTTTATACCAGATTGTACTTTAAGCCTGCTTTAGCAAATCCTTTATTAAATTATTATGGTCCTTTAAATCATCCAAGTTTTCTCATCTATTCATTGCTCTGTTATTTGCAGAGGACAATGTATAAAAGAGATTACAGGAGTCTTTCATTAAATGGAACAATATGCATTCTTTCAACATATTTCATCCATTGCATATTCTTTCTGTGAAAATATTTGAAAATGCTTTCTATTTCTTAATTTCTTAGCAGCCTTACGGTTAAGCCCTTGATAATGTAAATGAAGATGTTATGTGTCTTAGTGACAAGGATTCATCTTATACACATGCTGTGCTGCCATAACATACTTGTTGTAGCATGTGATGCACTCCTTATCAATCACACAAAGAGTCCATGCACACTGGTGTAAAAAAAAACACCAGTACTGTACTAGCGTTTAGGTGCATATAGGCGCATTTAGTGTTTTTTTCTGCCCGCAAACTGCTCTCAAAAATGCAAAATAGAAGTGTTTTTTTTTTGCCTCTAAACTCTGTGCTTATTCTCTTCACGCCGGCTGAACGCAGCTTCTGGGCCTAGACGCCGAGCAGCCGTACATTTGCATTCTATTAAAAAAGAACATACTGTATGTGCTGAGAGCGCGCACCATGCGCGTTCCCAGCACACATGTCCGGTACTCACGGAAAGGTCCCAATCTCCTCTTTCAATCAGGACCTTTCCTGATCATGTGACCGCCGTGACGGCGTGTCACGGTGGTCACATGACCCTAAACCTCGCCCCGCCTCCCGGCTTCTGAAACCCTTAAAGGGCCGGGAGGCGCCAGTGTGAAGGGGTTAAAATAGTCCTCTAAATGCTCTAATGTGCATGGACACATAGGATAACTTTGAGCTGCTTCTACAAGCAAAATGCAAAACTCCTGTTCAAGCAGCGTTTTTTTAAGCCAGTGTTCATGAACTCTAAAAAATGGGGGAAAAGAAGATCAGAATTTCTAGCCTTTTTAAAGCTGTTTTCAAAACGTTTAGTATCTACAGTATTAGACATATGCAGAACTAAAAATTTGTTTAGTTTTGGATAGATTTGTTATGTTACTAATTTAGTATCGCTGCATTTGTTACATTTCGATGACTCATTTTCAGAATTTGTTTCATTTAATTTAGTTTTGTTTATTCATATTCGAAAAGATTAGAAATGTTTTGAAGTCAGGGGCGGACTGACGATTTGGAAACTTGGGCACTGCCCGAGGGCCCGGGGTCAGTAGGGGGCCCCATGAGATGCCCCTGGTACCTTTTTCATAGACTTTTTTGAGTTTGGGGAAGGACACAGGGGCCAGATGATCCCCTATTGCCCGGGGGCCCCATGAGTTGTCAGTCCGCCCCTGTTTGAAGTATTAGCATTTGAATCGAATCGTAAATATGGATTCAATCTGAATTCTGTGTGAACCATGACTCGTCTGCTGTCAGCAGGATTCCCTGCTGTCAGCAGAATGTAAACAAAACAATTGCTAGTTTAGCCACTTGCCCTCCTGAGGATTTACCGCCCTTCATGACCAGGCCATTTTTTGTGTTAAGGCGCTGCGTTACTTTAACTGACAATTATGCGGTCATGCAACGCTGCACCCAAATGAAATTTACATCTTTTTTTTCCCACAAATTGAGCTTTCTTTTGGTGGTAATTGATTGCCTGTGCGTTTTTTTATTTTTTGCACTATAAGCAAAAAAAAACAACAATTTTTAGAAAAAAAACAATATTTTAGACTTTTTGCTATTAAACATGTCCAGTAAAAAAATTTAAAACATCTAATTTCATCATAAATGGATTGGTGGGTGGCCATGTAACCCACCTGTTCAGACTTCACAGCCATAACTAGAAACATTCTAGCTGCCTAAACAAACATCTGTCTCCTTTCGAAGCCATTTTTCTTATGAAAAGACAGCGTAAGAGCGCCGCTTGTACCCCCTTTTAGACTACTTCTTGGATCATCTGTGGCCATTTATACAGTAATAAAGTTTTCTGCCAGAGAATGATGTAACTTCTGATGGAAAGCTTTTGTCTTCATCAATTAATTTTACTTACAGGTTCACCAAACTCTAATGAGTCGGAGCAGGGCATGAGTGTTTAGCATTAGAATAGAGCAACAGGCATTTAACATGCTGAGTAACTCATAATGCCAATGACATCTATTCAGCTCTAACATCAGTGTTTTGTGTGCACTGCTGTTCAAAAAAACATGCAATGCTTTGAGGAATTTGATTAAAAAAGAGCAGAGGTGCAATCAAATTACTGCTGTATGTGCCCCGCAGGTTTATTTTTATATGTAAAATGCAGCAAAATATACTGGCACTTGAAGAAGTGTAAATCAATGTTATGTTCTCTATCATTCACTGTATATTGCAAACTTGTTACATTTCTTAAAGTGCAGCTATCACAAAATATTCATTAGTGCACTCTTTTTAAAAGTTCATTTTATATTTTAAAACGTTTTGTAACCTGTAACTTGTTTTATACTTAGATTTTCTCATGTCTGCATCTTTCTTTTAAGAAAGATTTAGTAGGAAAGGGGAATTTCAATTTATACTTTTATTACCTGATAAGGCCAATTGTTTCTTAAGTAACGCTTGCAATACATTGATTAAAATTCAGCTGGTTCAGCAGGGTAAGTGGCACTTTAATCTCTCCCCGAAACAATCCTAAAAATATTGGTGGGCAGTGTAATTTTATATTCCCTCAAATCAATACTACAATCACCAGTGATCAGTGGAAGTGTCAGTGGCAAAAAAATTAAAATATCCATGCCCATGCGCCATAACATTGATCGTCATTGGCTTTTTAACCTCCCTCACTTATGATTAGGTAGGCTACGTAAAATGACAGAGCGAGAACAGTGCATGCTGAAGCGCACAGAAGTCGCCAACTGTCTGCAGAGTCAATAGCTAAAGACCTCCAAACTTCATGTGGCCTTCTGATTACAACAGTTGGTAGAGAACTTCATGGAATGGGTTTTCTTGGCCGAGCAGCTGCCTCTAAGCCTTACATTACCAAGTGCAATGCAAAGTGTCGGATGCAGTGGTGTAAAGTACGCTGCCACTGGACTCTAGAGCAGTGGAGATGTGTTCTCTGCAGTGATGAATCAAGCTTCTCTGTCTGGCAATCCAATGGACATGTCTGGGTTTGGCAGTTGCCAGGAGACCGGTACTTGCCTGACTGCATTGTGCCAAGTATAAAGTTTGGTGGAGGGGGGATTATGGTGTGGGACTGTTTTTCAGGAGTTGGGCTTGACCCCTTCATTCCAGTGAAGGTACCTCTTAAGGCATCAGCATACCAAGATATTTTAGACAATTGTATGCTCCCAACTTTGTGGGAACAGTTTGGTGATGGCCCCTTCCTGTTCCAACATGATTGTGCACCAGTGCACAAAGCAAGGTCCATAAAGACATGGATGAGCGAGTTTGGGGTGGAGGAACTCGACTGGCCTGCACAAAGTCCTGACCTCAACCCGATAGAACCCCTTTGGGATGAATTAGAGTAGAGACTGTGAGCCAGGCCTTCTCGTCCGACATCAGTGCCTGACCTCACAAATGTGCTTCTGGCATAATAGTCAAACATTTCCATAGACACATTTCTAAACCTTGTGGACAGCCTTCTGAGAAGAGTTGAAGCTGTTATAGCTGCAAAGGGTGGGCCAACTCAATATTGAACCCTACGGGCTAAGT